CAGCGCCACAGTATAACGTTTCAACATGTTCCCCCATGCAAATCCTGAAGCAAAATTACACAGTCAACAAGAACGTAACAAAGCAAACACGGCGAGTCCCGAGGAAAACAAAGTCGCGAGCCACAGCATATATCTTCGTGCCCCGAATATTCTACAACAAGGAAAAAAGTGACGATAGCTCATCCCCCAACACACACCCCTCAAAAATCAAGAGGAGAATAGGTGGGAGGGAGAAGTAAAAATACGGTGTAAAGGTCAAAGCGGGACGGAAATGCGGACACACACAGACGGAGAGAACGGGAACAAGAGAGAAAAGAAAGGGGGAGGAAACAGAGGATTAGCGGGCGGCAAGCAAATGCAGGGGCTCCATAATTCACAATGACGACCTCGTAAGGGATTCACCGGCATAGCAGGTCCAATCGACGCCGACGCCGTGCCTCAGGCTGTCTCCCCGTCTCCCCTATTTCCATTCCTTGTTTTCAAGTTGCTTCGTCCATCCGTCTCGTCCCTTGAGCGTCTGTACTCTTATTTTCTTTCTCTCCATAATCGTCTTTTCCCCTAATTCTCTCGTCTATATTTCCAGTGTTTTTCCAATTCTTTCGCATCTCTTTCCCCAGTTCTTCCAATTCTCTCGCCTATCTTTCCAGCGTTCTTCCCATTCTCACATCCCTCTCTCTCCTTTCAAATCTCTCGCATCAATCACTCTTCCGGTTCTGCTTTCAACAACTTCCCTCATTCTATCTACTTGAATTTATCAAAGTTTTCCCCTTTTCCCTCGTGGCTTCCTTCTATTCCTTGGGTTCCTTATCGTGATTTCCATACCAATAACAATTTCCATTTTTACTCAATTATCTCTCTCTTAATCCTCGATCGATTGCTATCACTCTCATCCTCGCCGTCTTCTTCTTTCATTCGCTATTCACCCTTCTTTCATTTCTCGGCTTGTCCTTTTCCCTTGCCTTTCGTTCCCCTCGTGCGGCCGTTATCTTCCCCCTTTTCTATTAATCCACTTTTTTCTTACTCCTTCCTCTCTCCTAAACTCACTTTTTGTTTGTTCGTCTTTCAACTTTATTTCTGATCTTAATTTCCTTTCATTTATCTCCTCCACCGTCTTCTTTGTCATTTTCTCTCTCATTTCTGATCTCAATTTTTCATTTATTTATCTCCATCGTCTTCTTTGTCATTCTCTCTCTCTCTCTCTCTCTCTCTCTCTCTCTCTCTCTCTCTCTCTCTCTCTCTCTCTCTCTCTTCAGTGTGTGTGTGTGTGTGTGTTGTGTGTGTTGTGTGTGTGTGTGTGTGTGTGTGTGTGTGTGTGTGTGTGTGTGTGTGTGTGTGTGTGTGTGTGTGTGTGTGTGTGTGTGTGTGATCCATTCCTCTCTCGACGCTCAGGAATCCTCATTCCGCCATTCCCTCACTCCTCCCTCTCCCTTCCCTTCCCCTTCTCCTCTTCCACAAACATGCAACATCCGCTTGCTCCCGCCACCAATGCCGCCATCTATCTGATCAAGCACAGACGTTGAAGCAAAAGACAAATTGCAAAACAACAATTGCATTTCCGTTTCTTTCGTTCCTTGACGTTATATACGCACGGAAGGGGATCTCCCCGTGCGTCTTCCCCCAGGGTACATCCAGCCCCGACATTACGTGACTCGAGCAAACACAGACCCTCCGCGCCTTCAGAAAAAAGAGCATAGCGCCGAGGTAGGGTTAATTAGCTAATGACTCTAGTTAAGGGCGCGTCCATCACCGGAGTGAGGGCGTGGCACTATATACATAAAACCCTGGCTTACGGGGCCCTGGAGGGGAAGGAAAATATGAAAAAAATCTGAAAGAGAAAAGGGGTTTAAATCGACAAAATAAATAAAAATGTTCTGTACACTCAAAAGTGTTGGATCTACACCAACGCGCTCTTCTTACCTCTACACAATTCCAGCTCCGTCTCTAGGTAATTTGACTTGTGCACTTTTCTGTTTAATTTGCTTTAAAAGTTGAGAAAATAAACTTACCCGGGCAATTCCTTTTAGTAAGAAGTTGAGGGTGAGGCAATTCCAATTCCAATTTATACTTACGCCAGAATTAAGTTTATTTTCACCAAATCACATGACATTACTTTTCTTCTACTCTAAATAATTGCTGATCACCGCCCAAAAATTATGTGCTACACTTACCAATTTCGGACAAAGGGATTTCACTACTGCTCTTAGCCCTGAGACACCATTGAAGGTCACCACAACACCTTCTCTGCGCCTTTCAAACAACATTCCTTTCTACCTTAATGCTTGGCTTCCATCCGTACCCTTTCCCGCTGCCCCCGACTGCCCCTGGTCCCTACCTGGTTGCGGGTGGTGTTGTCTTGGCCTGGTGATGACGAGGGTCTTGGTACCTACGGTGGCCGGATCACGGATAAGGTTCAGCTCCGCCAGTCGCTGAACTAAGCGTCCACTCATCACTCCCTAACTACCACAGCATTCATCACCACCGCGTGGCCATCGCACATGGTCCTATGCAGGCCTAGACAGCCTGTCGCGCCTGCGGATCCATGGTGATGCTGCGCCTCGACGGATTCATCGTTCCTCTGCTTGTGCACTGTGTGTGTCTTAACACCTGTAATACCATGCCAACACGTGGAATGACGCAGATCTTGGAGTATTTACACGCCAGCACTTCGTCTCTCATTCCTCTTAATTGCCAAGGTGAAACAGAACTCCCCCACTCGTCTCCCACACACGAACGCCCACTCAGCCACCCACCACACCAGGCTTTCTCACTATACACTGCCCTCCCACGTGGGTCCAGGCGCGCTTACCATCCAACAAAACTAACAGCTTAGCGGTTTTATTCACCTCTGGCGGATTGCTCCAGCACTAGGGGCGAGTCCGGACACGCAAACAGCATGTCTCCCGAACACGGCAGGTCTCCGTTTGCTCCTCACGCTGTCCCTCCCAGTTCGCATTATCTTATAACCGCCTTACTGCATCAAGTAATCTAATCTACGAGGAGACTAATCATAACTTGTCTCTGCGATAAGATCACAGCCAGTAGGTAACAGGCGGCAAAGTCCATGCGGGTCTGTGGCAGGGTCATGTACCCTGCCACAGCATGCGGCAAACCGGAATGAAAATCGATAATAATGAGACCAATAACAACGTAACTTCCATTAAATGTTGACCTAAAGTGGTCCATTCTCTCTCTCTCTCTCTCTCTCTCTCTCTCTCTCTCTCTCTCTCTCTCTCTCTCCTCTCTCTCTCTCTCTCTCTCTCTCTCTCTCTCATCTCTCATTATATTATAAAATGTTAGTTCATATACTCGGAGGCGCACCCACACAGCCTAGCGACCGGGACGGCGCATCCGGGAGAATAATCACAAGAGTTCGAGGTCGACGTGACAAGGTTGCCTTAGTATAAGCGGTAATGAAATAATAGCTTTCCACGTTCCGTAATCATCGCTCCCCTCCCTGCCCCTTTATCGCTGTTATACATGACACAATTACCCACACTCATGGCCTCCCTCGCCCTCGCAAAGGTCAAGCTAGGTCACGCCACTGCCAATTCTTCAGAATTAAAGAGACAGAGATGGAAACGGAGCGCAGGGAAAGGAACGGAGAAATGTGGAGTGGAGGGATGGCGTGATAGGGAGAGGGATGGAGAGGGGAGAGACAGATCTGTGTGTGTTCTAGTGTTTGTTGTTGTGTGTGTGTGTGTGTGTGTGTGTGTGTGTGTGTGTGTGTGTGTGTGTGTGTTGGTGTGTGTGTGTGTTTGTGTGTGTTGTGTGTGTGTGTGTGTGTGTTATAGTGTGTGGAGATAGAGAGGAGAGAGAGAAGAGAGAGAGAGAAGAGAGAGAGAGAGAGAGAGAGAGAGAGAGAGAGAGAGAGAGAGAGAGAGAGAAAAGGTAGAGGTAGAGTAGGTAGAGTAGAGGTAGAGGTAGAGGTAGAGGTAGAGTAGAGTAGAGGTAGAGGTAGAGTTAAGGTAGAGTAGAGTAGAGGTAGAGGTAGAGGTAGAGATAGAGTAGAGATAGAGATAGATAGAGAGAGAGAGAAAGGGGGGGGTCGAGAGAGAGAGAGAGAATGAAGAGGGGGAAAGAGAATGAAAGTGACTGAGAAAGAGAGAGAAAGAGAAAGAGAGGGAAGGGAGGAAAGGAGGAAAGGGAGGAGGGAGAGGGATGAGAAAGGAGAGAGAATGAAAGAGGAAGAGATAATGAAGAGTGATTGAGAAGAGAGAGAAGAGACAGGAGAGAGAAGAGAGAGAACAGGGAGAGGAGAGAAAGAGACAAGAGAGAAGAGAGAAGAGACAGAGAGAAGAGAAAGAGAAGAGACAGAGGAGAAGAGAAGAAGAGAGAAGAGAGAGAGAAGAGAAGAGAGAGAGAGAGGAAGAGAGAGAAGAGAGAGAAGAGGAGAGAGAAGAGAGAGAGAGAGAGAGAGAGAGAGAAGAGGAGAGAGGAGAGAGAGAGAGAAGAGGAGAGAAGAGAAAGGAGAGCGAGAAGAGGAAAAGAGGAAAGAGCGAGGAAGAGAAGGAGAGAGAGAGAGAGAGAGAGAGAGAGAGAGAGAGAGAGAGAGAGAGAGAGAGGGAGAGAGAGAGAGAGAGAGAGAGAGAGAAGAGAGAGAGAGAGAAGAGAGAGAGAGAGAAGAGAGAGAGAGAGAGAGAAGAGAGCAGGGGAGGTGGGAAGGAAAAGGTGGGCGAGCAGGGGATCTCGCCCCTGTTTGGGAGACGTTCAAGTCTTGACAAAACTCAATTCGGGCGAGAGATCAAATTTGCGGCGCCACCGAGGGAGAAGACACAACAATATCGCTCGAGAATTTCAGTGAAGCGCCATTTTTTGCTGTGGATTCACTGGGTGACATCCACTTTATCGAACAGTTGACTCCGCGTTCGGAAAAAAACAATCGTGTTTCGGGGTCCAGGGAGGAAACAATGAGGGCGACATGAGCTAACACAGTAGCAACGTTCGGGTTCCTCGCATGCATGGATGAGAGAGATCAATGAACCGCGCCAGCAAATGCGAGCTGAATTGGCCTACCCCATTTCCCTATGTAGTTAGGTAGACGGTAAAGCCCTTGCCTTTATGTACACGACGGCGAGTCAAGGGCGTCAAGAGCCAAGCGAGCGAGGGTATGAAGCCTCTCTCCAATTTGAATACGGGGCTTCTGTAACGAGGCAGTCACGCAGGAGGAGTTATTAACCAGTCACTCCAGGGGGAGAGGAAGTGCGCCTGCACAGCGTACAAGCAGCTTGGCTCTAATAACCACAAACACTGGATGTCAGTCAGCCGCTGCTCGTTCTCTCGGCCACTCTTCCTTCTCTTTATGCCTTCCTCTCTCTCTCTGTCTCTCTCTCTCTCTCTCTCTCTCACTCACTCCCTTCCTCCCTCACTCACTCTGTTTGTGTCGTGTCTCTCTTTCTCATCTCAGTGTCTCCCCAATTTTCTTCTCCCCTTCTCTCTCTTCGTTCTACCTTCGTCCCACAAGTCTTGCATATCAAACGTGGGCAAACGTTTCCGTTTTTTGTGTTTCTAATCAGGAGATGCGAACGTCGCAATCGTCAGTTCAAGTGATAAAACCCAATGCAGGACTTTTTGCTGACGTTAATAGACTGTCGGAAAATTAGAATTTGGGCAGGATGAAAAATCTAGTCACATTTTTAATAGTGCTTGAAAAGCTCGGTAATTTTGGATGCCAGCATTATAATTGTGGGTGTTACGCATTTTGATTATCTCGGTTTAACATTCTAATTTCCAGGATAAACATTCTTGCCAGCAAAAAAAGTAAAGAAAAAACAACAAAACATTCTGGCTAAGGCGAATGGGTACAGAAAATGTTCTAATGAGAGCGAACATTTTTTGGGGATTTCTGAAGTAAGATTGTGGTTACTCTGATCGCTCAAATTGCGAGTACTCTGTCGAACTAAATTAATGTAAGAAGGAAAGGCGGAAAGTAACAGCTTTTTTGCACCAAGACTATAGAAAATGAGCTCATTCCTCGTGCTCCGCGTGGATCTACTTGAAAAGCCATTCAGTCATGCTGCAAACATAAGCAAGAAATTACTTTTTTCCAGGTCACCCACGTAAATATGAAAATTCAACCACCACTAGAATTTCGACACATGCTAATATTCGGGAATCATCTGTTCCAAAATTAGCATATGGCGAGGTAATATGCAATGCATATCTACCCAATCACAAAGCGTTAAACATATTAAATCGCGTATATCAAAACCATTTGCTAATAGCTACCGAGTCCGCGGGATTTAATCACCGTCACGCGACACAACAAATATTGCGTACGCAGAAAAAAAGTGAACAAACACAAAAGCAAAATAAAAAAACCTCTCACCCTCCTCCATTCCCCAGCGTCCGAAAGAGCAAGCACACAGCCCCAAAACGACCCAGCGTCAGAGCTCCGAGTCCCGGCCGCTCCTCGTGCCATACTTTCCTCCGGCCGCCGCTCCCTCTCGGACGACCCTCGCCGCTGGTCCCATTGTCCTCTACAGCCTAAAGCTACTCTGCTTCTTATGAGACGCGGGAATGTGCCATCGAAGCTGCAGACGATCGGTTTCGTGCTATCCGCTCTGTCCACGATTGCCTGTGTGCCTCACGTCGGCGCTAAAAATAACGAATTCCGGGCCATTCCAGCTGGCACAATGCAGTGGATAATATCTGATCGGCGTGCGTGTGAGAACCTTGGTAAAACTGAGCATTTCCATTCTGTATCTTGGCCGTGAGCGATGCGGTCGTGGAGGGTCTTTCCCTCGCGGCAAAGATCCTCCAACAGCCAAGGCATCATGCAAACGGCCGCGCATCTGGCCTTGTTTGGGACATGAGGCGCGGGGAAGAGGCCATCCCGGCCGCGGCGCCGTTTCCCGTCTCTTAAACAGTTCCTCCCGCGGGGCCTCAGGTAGGGACGGACGGCAGCCGGTAACGCTCTCGTCCGAGACCAGATGGCTCAGAAACCCCTCTACATGCCTGGGATTCTGGCTCTTAAGAGCACCCTACAGAGAAGACGGTGTTCCGCGTCCGAGGGAAGCAATGGTCGCTCGGCTCCCCGGAAGGCTTTTAGGGCGGACAATTCCCGTATGAAAAACGCTTTACCAATACCTGTTAAGTGTTATGGAAGCTGGCGATGGCAAGTATGACCACAGAGGGCGGAGGAAGTCATGGACCTCGCAGACCCTGCTCTCGGACAAAGCCGATTTTTACACGACTTACCTGACGCACGATCGACTATTTGGTTGATTCTGCAAGTGACTGATCTGACACGTGAGGAATTTTAGACATGCTTTTGCATAATCCGAAACCCAAACTCGCCTAACCCATTCACCAAGCAGGAGCGTCCCCTGTCCTCGGCCGTCACCCGCCATGCTCGGCAGACGGTGATAATGCTAATGCCCGTGACGCTGATGGTGGCAGCAGCTTTAGCGCTGACGACACGCGGAGTTAATGATGATGGAAAGGCAACACGACTCGCCGGCAACAGCGAACTGCGGCCTCTAATCTCGAGTCGAGTACACA